ATGTGCTTTATACAATTGATGTATGTATGGATTGTGATAAGAGTTGTATGAGGCCCCAATAAGACTATTTTTAAAAAATTGGAATATGGAGCTATTATACAGCCAGGGTTCCTAACCTGGGATACTCTGATCTAAGATGTGGGGTGGGGTGGGGGGGGTGGGGGGAGGCCATTGGGATGGCAAGGAGGTGTTACTTTATTTTCAACATTTCAAAAAGACTAAAGAAATCATCTTTTTATTCAGCCAGTAAGAATTTCTTAGGTGCTTATAGTATGTCTACACCACGTGATGGGAGTTAGAGTTAGAACATAACATCAGAAGTTCTGATTGGCATTCAGCTATAGCCTTGATTGATTTTTTTTGATTGATGTTTTTAAAACAATATGTTTGATAAATGTGTTGCAAAATACAGGCCCAGGTGGGATAAATAATAAAAGGAATATCCTTGGAATAGTCTCAGGGATGCAACAGTGGGTGCGAAACTGTGGAGTGAGTGCAAATGTAAGCTGGATTCTGCTGTTCAACAGACTTTCTTAGTGGCTTCCTTGCTGCACCCGTCCCTGGCTGAGCACTGTGGAGCTCAGTGAATGAGAAAGGTGTGGGGCCCGTCCTGGAGATGTTAGCAGGAGAGGGCCTGGCAGCAGAAAGAGTTTGGGCCCTTGGGTCAGGGAGAAGGAGTATTGTTACACCAACCAGAAAACCCAACTTACTACCATCGAGGTCTTGCCACTCATAGTGACCCAGTAGGACAGGGTAGAACTGCCCCGTGAGGTTCTGAGACTGTAATTCTTCACAGTAGTAGAAAGCCCCATCTTTCCCCCCAGGAGCGGCTGGTGGTTTTGAGCTGGTGACCTTGTGGTTAGTAGCCAACTCGTAACCACTGTGCCACCAGGGCTCCTTAGTGCTGTCACACAGACATGTCAAAAATACCAGCCATTGCTGGTACCCAAGTTGTTATTCTTATAAACCATACTCTTAAGCAATTTTTGTCACTTAAAATTCCTGTCAGGTGCTTGTGACCCAAGGATGAACAAACAGGACATAATCCTGCCCTCACAATCTAGTCACTTTGCAAGTGCTTTCCTTATGGCCTTCAAGCCTCACAACAATCCTGCAAAGAGCATATTCAATTTCCATTTTACAGATGGAAAAATGAAGGCCCAAGGAGGCGAAGTTAGTTAACCAAGGTCACCAGCTATGAAGTGATTGGCTTGGGATTTGGACTCAAGCCCGTGAGACGCCAAAGCTTGCACCCGGTGAATCAGACACAACTCTTTTTTAGCCCTCAAGTACCTCCACACTTCATTCACTCATTCATTCAAAAACTACATGCTCTCCTCCACGCAAGCCTTTGCTGAAGGGGTGACATGGTCTTTGACCTCAGGAGCTCACAGGGGAGGGAGGAAAACAGAAGGCGAAATCTTTCAACGCTGAGAGGGAAGGCTCAAAGGGAGGGGATTTTGTGCACGTGTGCTGGAGGTTGTCAAAAAGGTTCTTAGGGGACACGATGGCTGCTGCTTGCAGAACATAGCTGTGCCATTTCAGAACAGTCCTTGCAATGGGTGGGGGTGGGGACAGGGCTCAGGAATGTCCTTGGGTCTATCTTTGATGTGACCTCCGTTTCAACTGGCTCTATCTCTAAGATTAGAGAGAAGGACTGGAATTAGGAGAGCCAAAGACAGACACATTGCTGGGGAGAATTGCGTTGCCATGGCAACAGCTCCTGCTGGGGGACAGTTCAGCTCGCTGGAGGGGAGAAGGGAGATAGGAGGATGCATCCAGACAATAATCAAACAAGCGAGAATTTAAGGCCAGAGTCCACGACTCCCTCTCTCTCCTGTGAAGCTCAAGGCCTCATGGCAAGGCTGTTTGCTTAACCCCGAGGTCACCGCAGTGAAGCAGGCTTAACCCTTCAGCGAACCAATGTGCTCTCATCACTCATCCCAGCGACAGCTCACAGGGCCTCTTCATGTCTCCAGATCACAGTCAAAGAAAGCTCAGAGAAGAGAAGCTACTGATCCAGGGTCACACAGCCCAGAAGTGACAGAGGAGCTGGGATCAAACCCCTCTCCCCTTTGCCTCTCCCACCCCCCACCCCCAGTCCCAGTCTGGCCAGTAACTAGCTGTGTGCTGGGGTAGTTCACGTTCCCTCTCCGAGTCTAAGACTCCTCATGGGCGAAGTGGGGAAAGTGCACCAGCCCTGCGAGGCCAATGAACTCAAGGGACCACGTCAAACTCCTTTCCAGATGCTTTGCAAATTGGCTTCTGGCCCTGGCATCCTCGGCCCCTTCGCTAATATCAAATGAGACCCCAACCTTGTTCCCCCGCTTTTATTTATTTATTTTTAAATGTATATATTTTTCCCCCCAGCTTTTAAATTTTGTCCTTCTTTTTCCTCCTTCCTTCCTCCAAAAGCCCCCTCTGAAGTCTGCAAAATTCAGACTCCTGCCTCACCCATAAATATTCTGGTACGGATGTATCTGTCTTCAGGACCTGCCCATATTCCTGGTCCCCTTTCTCACCCAGCGTACCAGACACACTGCTAAAGCACTCCCGGGAAAGGACCTTTCTCTGCTCGCCTGGGGGCAGGGGCTGGGGACACAGGACCTTTCCCATGGGTCAAGGGAGGGTCCTCTGGAGTATAAGAAGGCACTTCTGCCAGATGGTTTTTTCCCATTCCACAGCCTCAGGAATGAGCGCCTGCTGCCTGCCATGTCAGTGGTGGGCTGACGACATAGGATTGAATCAGACAAGACCAGCCCTCACTGCAGACAAGACATGCAGACATCGGCACCCCATCCCTAACATTCATAGACATCCTCAGGTCACCCTTAATGGAGGCGTGGGTGGGGCATCTCCACTCACATGTCCCCCAACTTCCTCAAGTGTAGCCTCTCCCCCTCTCCCTATCTCAGTGTGAGAACCAGAAACAAGAGTGTAATCTTGCATGCAGCTCGACTCTCAGCCACCTCCCTCCCTGAGCAATCAATTGCCAAGTCCTGCTGATTTCTATCTTCCTGGGCCCCTTGGATGGTCCCCCCCCCAAATCCCATCTCCACTCTGAAACCAGTGTCGTTTCTAAAATGAAAATCTGATCTTGTCACTGCATGCATTAAACATTGTAGCGACATTTTGTTTCTTCCCAGATAAACCCCAGGTTCCTTAACAAGGTTTAAAAAGCCCTTCTGTGACCCGGCTGCTGCTTCTGCCTCCAGTGATCAGCCCCAATGTTCAGTGAGGATAATAAGAGAACTGCAGCTGTGCCCACCGGCCTACCCATCCAGAGCCAGCTGGGACTCGTGGGCCCCAGGACTTCACTCCTTGCTGGGCGCCCTTGCTCCCTTCACTGAGCCCACTCATCCCTCAAGCTAATTCCTCCAGGAATCTTTCCAGTTGGGCGGTCTCCTCTGTGACCCCAGAGGGCCCTGGACATCCACTATTTAGGGTAGTTACTCTCTTGTCAGTCCCTATTTGCTCATCTGTTTCCCCCGTTAGGCGGTGAGGTTTTCCAAGGGAGGGAACTAACCCTGATTCATCATTATGTCACCGGTATCTACTGCAGGGCTCCGTCCAGGACTGTTGAATGGAACTGAGTTTATCCTCACCCCTGATTTCTAGGAGCACCTGGTCTCTCTGGATGACACAAGTGGTGTGAGATCAACTACAGACACAAAGGTTGGAGAAAGCAACCCAGCTGCCACTCCATTTCCTTAAGGATTACAGCCCAGAAAACCCTGTGGAGCAGTTCTGGTCCAGCGTGGGAGGCTTTGTAAAAAGCTAACAATGCACTCAATCTAGGCCACTGAGCCCATTCCAACTCGTAGTGCCCCTATAACGGGGTAAAGCTATGTTCTAGGAGCAGAAAGCCACATCTTTCTCCCATGGAGTGGCTGGTGGTTTCAAACTGCCACTCGGGCGCCCAGCTAACATCAGTGATGTTATTATCTGGCTATGGGCAAGAGCCAGACTCTCCCCGTGGCTGGATCTGCTTTCTCTTCCTCCAAGTCTTCTGGGTGGCACCTATCCCAAGGGAGAACTGTCCGCTCCCAGAGTATCCTGGGCACCTACTCCATCCTCACCCCCCCCCCCCACAAACCTCCCACCCCTGGCCATCCTCAGCCTCCCCTAAGCCTGGAGAGCAGACAGACTAGTCAAGGTGTGTGGGACCCCCTGAGAGGTAGGAGCAGGCTGGAGATCAGTGATGCTGGGAGGGGTGGGGAGGAGAGGTGATTCCCTGTCCAGCCCTAAGTTGGGTCTGCTTCTGTCCCTAGAAAGAGGGGAGTGGGTGGACAAGAGATAAACCAGGGGACTACAGAGCAACGCACACAGCACCAGGAACACAGGCAGAGAACCCAGGGAGGAGACCAGGCAAAGGCAGCCAGGAAAGAAAGGGCAAAGGGAGGCTGGACAGAACCAGGAACTGGGCGCAGAGAGAGAGAGAAGCCGAGGGGCAGGCCAGGAGACCAGGGGAGCGCCCAGCTAGCGGTGGAGACAGCGCGAGAGCTCGGACTGGACGCGGGCTGGACAGGCAGAGGCCGCGGGGAAGCCCGAGGAGAGGGACCCAGCCGGCGCCTCCCGCCCTGGGCTGTGCACTCACCGTCACCGAGCCCGCTTGGGACGCTGCCAGGCCGGGCCGCGGGGACCGGGGCGCCGGGGTCAGGCTCATGCTGGCTCTTGAGCAACGTGTACGACTGCGGCCAGCCCCAGCCGGCCACGTGCAGGGTCCTGGGGCCTGGCGGAAGTGCACCTGGCTCCCCCGCCCCAGAGTTGGGAGAGGCTGGGCTTAAGGTGTTTGGTTAAGGCATCGGGATTGGCTTGGGCACACCGGAGCTGTGGTCTGGCCCTAGGCAAATCCTTGTGACCTTCTGGACCTCAGACATCAAGGAAAGTGCAAAGGAAATGACATTGCCAATCAGAGACTTTCAACTTTCTGCAGCCGTGGGGGATCAACGCCCATTGTGCAGATGAGAAAAACCAGGTTCGGGGAAGTGGGGTGAACGGTGTAGATGAGTAACAGCTCTCAGAGCAGCTGCTGGGGGTGCAAAGCCTGACAGATGGGGGCAAGAGCCAGGTCTCTCATAGGTAGGGTTGTTTTGCTTGTTAAAACAGTAATCCTATGGGGGAAATCCTAACTTTTCTGGAGAAACCTACAAACACTAGGTCAGGCAGGTGATCAAAGGTCAAGATCAGCAGCCATCAACATGTTCCGTAGTATATGCCCTTAATATATTGTGATGAGCATGGTACGTTCCACCTGTGATGGTCCTCCGTAACAACAACAAAAGATAATTCCAAGGAAAACATCAGACAGGTTGCGATGGAAGGAAAGTCCACAAATATCTGACCTGTATTCCTTAAAGTTGCCCCGGACATCAAAACGACGAAAGTCTGATTAGCTGCCACAACAAAGGGAGCCTAAGGAGACCTAGCAATGTACACGGGAAGGCAGAAAGTATAGCTACTCCCCTGAGGCCTTGACAGCTTATGCGCAGCTACGCAACCTGCAGCGAGTTGTTCTCTCCCTGGTCAGAGGAAGGAAGAGAGATGAAAATCAAAAGACATATGGGAACAATGATGCCAATGGACAAATTAATGGACCACCAGGCCTCAGTCTCCACGGCTCTGAGACCAGAAGAACTAGATGGTGCCCAGCTACCACTGCCAACTGCTCTGAAATGAATCACATTAGGAAGTCCTGGATGACTCTCAAAACCAAACCCACGGCCATGGTGTCGATGCCAACTCATAGCAACCCTATAGGACAGGGTAGAATTGTCCCTGCTGGGTCTCAGAGACAGGAGAATGCCCCTGTCTTTCTCCCTCAGAGTAGCTGGTGGTTCCAAACTGCTGACCTATTGGTTAGCAGCCCACCTCTTAGTCACTACACCACCAGGACTCCGGGCTAAAGTGGGAGAAATATGTGGAAGAAAACTCAAAATCATCAAAAAGACCAAGCTTACATTCAGAGAAGTGGGAGATGTGATAGAACATTGCGGGGATTGCAATAGATGAATTGAAACAAGATGTGTATGAACTGCTGAATGTAAAACTGATGGTCTGCACTATAAAGTAAGTGAATGACAAGGCTTTTTTTTAGTATTTACCGTCTCAGAAACCCTCAGGGACAGTTCCACGCGGTCCCGTGGACTCCATGGCTGTGTGAGTGCATCACTGTGATTTCTCCCTTCCCATTTGCTCTGTGGCCAGCAAGTGTCTGACACGTAGAAAGTCCTTACATACTTTTAGGCAAAATGACTGGGTGAAGGGAAAAATCATGATCTGGACCAACGGAACATTTGGTGATGTCTGAAAGCATTTTGGGTTATCACAACTGATGAGATGTTACTGGTATCTGGTGGATAGAGGCTGTTAAACACCCTACAGTGAACAGCATAGTCGCCTCTCCCCTCCCCAAACCCCCCAACAAGTAATTATCTTGTTCAAATGTAAACCGTGCTGCAGACAAGAAACTCTTTTTAAACCAAAGGTACTTCATCTTCCTAGGCCTCAGTCTCCTAGTTGTGAAATGAGACAATACGAGTACCTGCCTCCCAAGGCTGCCGGAGGAATAAACCGGATAGCGTCCGTGCTTCCCCAGTGCTGGACACAAAGGACACAGGCAAGTGAGTCAAGTTCCACAGCAGGTTGATAAGCAAACCAAAAACCCACTGTCAGAAAGTCGGTCCTGACTCACAGCGACTGCAACAGCTGTGGATCATGTAATGTGGCTTCTCTAGCCAAGGTCTGTAACTCCCACCAAATGACCTCCCCAGCATGAGTCTGGTAAGAAAGTGGAGGGGAGATACTGACAGGATTCCCCTGGGAGTCATTTCAAAAGGCTTCCCTGGAGTGACATCCTACTTCGTATAAAATGAGGCCTCAGGAGGAGGGAGTGCATCTTGTCTTCTGGACCTGTGATCCCTGCACAGTGAACCTCCTGGATCCAGATGACAGCTTGACCGTCAGAGGAGCAGCCCAGAACCAGGAGCCGGAGCGTGGAACAGAGTGATGGACTTCCCCACCCACCGAGCAAGGTAAGCTGAGTGCTTTTGCGCAGGAGGCTGGATTACTGGAGTGGGGTGCCTCTGGGCACTTAGAGAAGTTGGACTTGCCGACCCACAACCCACGGAAGTGAAGCTGGGTACCTTGTGGCTGAGGCTGACTGGAGAGTGCTCTTAATTCAGGGAGTTGGGTTTGCTTTCTTAGAGGTTGAGCTGAATGCCTTCAGGCTTTCAGCAGTGTATGCCCCTTGGGGCATTTATTAGTCCACTTGACAGAACTTGGTAACACGTCCTGATAAACAACTCAACCCTGAGCATTTCTCACTGGCATTACCGTTTGTTAATTTCCTTAATAAACCCTTTAATCATGAATTTTCTCTGTGAGTTCCTGTGTAGCCATTGCGACGGATATTAAGACCCAAAGAAGTTTAAGAGAGATTACTAATGAAATCAGCACAGCAACCCTGCCTGGGGTTCCAAGACTGTACATCGTTACAGGAATAAACAGCCTCAAAGGGTATTGCTGCCAGAGCGCCCGTCCACACACACACAGATTTATTCCAGATGAAATGTCTTTAAACGAGTCTCTGTAATCGTCAGTGGATGCAGACCAGGTCTCTCAGTAATTTCCTTGTCTTGTCGGGGTGACTTCCCCAAATAGGCCCAATCAGAACAGTGGATTCCTAGGACATCTCCTAGTCCAGTTACAATTCAAGGCAGAGACACCAGCTAAGGAGGTTATGGCAACTGTATTTTTAATTCCAAAGAGGTCATCACAAATGATTTTCTCAAAGGGCACAGAGCAAGCATGGGGGCTTATTGAGAAGACATTTCAAGAAAATTGAAAACTACAGTGTTAAGAAAAAGGCTAGGAAAGTTGAACCAATGAATTTTTCCCCCATCACAATAATGCATACGCTCATTCTTCAAGGAGACTTTACCCCATCCATCCCTGGCCTTGACCTTTCAGACTTCTTTTTGTTCAAAGACTCTTTGGGAGATGCTTTGAGTCCCTCCAGAATTCCGTAACTACTGTTGCAACATGGTGTAAATCGAAGAGCACAGAAGCCCTCTGGGGAAGGGTTAAGGAGATGGAAACATAACTGTTATGTTACAAGTGTAGAACCCAGATGAGCATGTGTTGAGGAACAAGCTTCACACTGTTGATATTTTGGTTTAATGGAGGTTTCTATAATTTGGTGACAATCCAATTGACTTACCCTTGTAATAGGATATCTTGAAGCAGAAAAATGAACATTAGGTAAAAACTAAGGAAGTTTTAATAAATGATAGGTTTTAATTAGTAATAATGTATCAAT